TATTTGTAGGATGGTATTTCTCTGGCTCAGTCCTTCAATAAGTTTGTTTGGGTGAGAGTTCTTGCCTTGTCAGCACAAAACCACAAAAAGACGTGGTGGAAAGTAAGAGAACGCCCCTCCCTCCCTCCCTCCAGCGTGCTAACTAACGCCAAACACTTGATTTAACACCCCTTCTCCGGCTGCTGGGGGCTCTGGGCAGTGGCTACATTCCAGCAGTTTTAATCCGTTTTTTATTGTAGGGCGAAGGGAGTTTACACATGGGCAGGGGTGGCTCCTCTGGGGCCCCGGAGCTGCCGCTGCCGCTGCTGCTTTTGCTTTTGGGGCTGAGTTTAATAACCCAGCGAGCGAGCGAACGCGGGGGGAAAAAGGCAGAGAATGTCCGCCATCTACCCTCTGCTCCTGGGCGCGCTCTCATTCATAGCAGCCTCTTCATGAATTACAGCTGAGGGGGGCGGGGAGGGGGGTACCTCACAACACCCCAGCAAACCTCCGAGCCCCCAGGCATGGCTAGCTCGGTAAGTACATGCAAAAATAATAATAAAAGATTCCCCCCCCCTCCCCGCCTTTCTTCCCTCGCCCCGTGCCGCCACCGCAGCCCAGACAGCGCCAGCGCTCGAGTATCATATCAATGTGTTTTGGGATAAAAACAAAAAAAGAAAAGCATCAAATAGTAGGTGTAAAGAAATCAGAAATTCCTTATATCTCAAGCTAAAAGGGCAAGTCACTGTGTTATTTTGTGACTAAAATGAGAGAATTGGGAAAAAAGATAAGAAATAGAAATATCATACTGTATGGATTAATATGCAGATACCTGAACACAGATCATGATTAACACATTCTCCCTCATTCTTTTCCACCTGTGTTCTAATGAAAGTTTCTATCAGTTCTGAATTTCATTTTTTTGGGGGGGGGGAGGTGGGAGGTACTTTGGGGCCACTTTGGCTCTTGGAAGTGTGTTGCGGGGGCTCCGTTAGGATGGCCTCTCCGATCGCGTGGGGCTGTGCGCTGGAGGGTGCGGGGTGCCTTAAGTTATGGATGCCTCGGCGTGTTCCTGCGGGCGGGCGTGTGTGTGTGACCAGGTCTCATTTTTGTTGTGCACGAACCCCAGGATAGGAGCACGGGAGTTTGTGCCCATCGGCGGAGGCTGCCTGTAGTTTCCATTCAGCCTGGCACAGCGCTCCACACGCACGCACACACACACGTACACAAAGACTTCCTCGGCGTGTGCCTGTCGCCGGGGTACTTTCAGGGAGGGGGCTCGCCCGAACCCCCTTCTGAGTCCCGGCTACCTCCCCTCCCACGCCGGGAAACCGCCCCGGCATCGTCTCCGAATAGTCTTCTAATTTGTTTCCGATGCATTTGTTGTCGTGCTTGTCGTGGCTGAGTGTGCTTTTCCCTCTTCCCCCAGACCCCGGACCCCCTTCCTAATGGGGGTAACATTCCGTTACAATGCAGGCCGGTGTCGATGCTGGGCCCGGGGCGCCGGGGGCCGGGCCGGCTGGTGGGGTGTCTTTGGGGGTGTGGAGTGTGCGCGCCCACGCGCGTGAAACGTGGATGCAGAGGGCACCGCCGTTGCCTTTTATGTGCGTTTCCAGGAGGGAAGGGGGGGGAAAAAATGTCAGGCGCAATGTGCGGGGTCGAACGGGTCGCCTTCCTGTCGTTCACGGCTGTCTCTCCTCCCGCTGCCCGCAGTGTGCCGTGCAGGTGAAGCTCGAGCTGGGGCACCGCGCCCAGGTGAGGAAAAAACCCACCGTGGAGGGCTTCACCCACGACTGGATGGTGTTCGTGCGCGGCCCGGAGCACAGTAACATCCAGCACTTTGTGGAGAAAGTCGTCTTCCACTTGCACGAAAGCTTCCCTAGGCCAAAAAGAGGTAGGGCTCGAGTACAAAAGGAGCTCGATAAAAAATGTCTTTGCCGGCGGAGGGAACAATCGCTCGGCCCGGCGGTCCCCTGCCCCTCTCCCTGCCCCTCTCCCTGCCCCTCTCCCTGCCCCTCTCCCTGCCCCTCTCCCCGCCCCCCCAGTCGCGCTTTTTTTTCCACGGAGCCTTGGGACCCGGGTGCACGGCGCCGCGCTGGCGAGGTCCGGGCTCCCGCCTGTGCAGGCGGCTTCGGCTGCGAGAAAGTCACCGAAGAGAAAGCACCGTCAGGTGTCGAGTGTTTATTCATCCCCAGCCAGCCCTCACCAGTCCTCTGGGGTTAGCCGCGGGTTCTGTGGGAAAGGTGCAATTAGTTGTTGGGTGTGGGGAGTGGGGCTGGAGGGAATAAACAGCTTGAGCTCCCACCCCCCTCGCCCCCAAAGAAATGGGTGACTTACCTGTGTTATTGGCAGAGAATGTATGGGGCATAGTTATTGTTCCTTCTCTAGAAGTCGCCTCTCGTTGGGGTCTTCTCTGCCTTCCTTCCTGTATAGGAGGCATTGAGTGGCCAGTTGTCACAGACTTTTCCTTTTGTGGATTAGCCACCCCCAGCCTACACGGGCAAGATTTTATGTTTAGCTGGGGGGTTTTCTCATCCACAGTCCCCAATGGCACTTAACTGCTCATTTGATTTTGAACAACCTTCTGAGATGAAATGTCTGCCCCATGTGATCTGCAGGGGAAGCCGGTCCCTGCAAAGGTCCAGCCTAAGTTTTCAGAGGAAAGATGTTTTGTCCGGTGTTTCAGTCCCTCCCCACCTTGGTTTTTAGCCTTCGTCTCTAGTTTGCGTAATCCTGCTGAGCCCTGGGTTCCCAAACATATTCCAGAAAGGATAAGACAGTCTTGAAGAAAAGAAACCGGGTGTTCTATTAAAAGAAATTGAGAGAGAGAGTTTGAGAAATCCTGATTTCTATTCCCCACAGCCTCTGGAAAGCTACTGTCTGGTTGTTTTAGTTGGATTAGTGGAGGCAACAATGTAAATACAATAAGGTGCTTTGTTTGTGAGCAGGTTTATTTATCTAAGTGGACACAATGGTTAGTAGTTATCCTCCATTTGATCCGTAATCTTTATTGGCATCTAGAACTCCTGCAGCTTCTTAGGGTCACATCATAATAAATCCATTCTGCTTAGAGCTACGTGGAAATTATTGAACATTCAGGGGCGGAATAAAGAGAAATGCTGTGTGCCTTAGAGGTGGTAGAGGCTGTGTTAACGCTTACTTTTGTTCCCAGAGCTCATGTACTGCGATGTAGGATGTATGTTTTGCCTTCAGTGGTCTGTTTTATAGTTCCTTTTGAAAACTTGAATAGTTGAATTTGATGGGCTCTGCTGGATGGTTGATAAATGAATCCAGCTTCTAAAA